GAGAGCCTGAATGTACCTGTCTTCCCACTGAGATACCCACTGTGCAATCAGTGGTAATTTAAAAATCAATTGCTCTTCTGTAGTAATTAGTTTGTCCATTTACACAGATATAATTGATAGAGCCTGCAACTAATTTCAGAGCAGGGATTCTTAAGGGATTCTAGAGATTAAGAGCTGTGAGACAGCAATTTGTGGGTTTTTCACTCAACAAATGAACATCTACATTCACTGGTTTGTGTATAAGTTTTGAGTACATTATGCCAGATAAGAAAATTATTTTCAAATTTACTGCTAAACAAAGCATAATATATTGCTAGAGAAAGCAAAAAAGTTAATGAAAGTGATTGCAATTCGGCACAACTGTAATTTAAAGGTACTGAAAAAGAATTATTCTTACATTTCATAGAATTAAATGTATTGCCTTTATATTTTCATCATATTCTTTTGAAAGTTCTCTTTCTTTTCCTTATGTTTTTATAAGTCTGGCTGAATAAAGTTTACTTTTCTCAAAAAATTATTTAAAAGTTGTTTTCTGTTTTGAGCACATAGAGAATTTATGTAGCTCTTGCCACACAGTGCTTAATCAAATAAAATATGATACTTGCACGTGTAGAATACATATTTCTCAGATTCATTAAACAAGTATCTTCCCTCAAGGCAATTCATTGTTATGCACCAGAGGGCTTTAAGATGGACTATTTAGGAGAAAAAAAAAAAAAAAAAAAAAAAAAAAAAAAAAAGCAGAAAATGAACAAGAGAAAAAGAGAAGAAACCTAAGACTAACATGAAATGCATATTCACAGTTTTAAAAGCTTTTGCAATTTACTGAAGCCCTGAGGTGACATTAATTGACACATTAGCAAGTTATATACTGTGTTATGTGTCTATTTAGCCTATAACACAATAAAAATAACACCGGGGAATCGCTGTAACACATTGCATGTACAGCACGTGTTTAAAGTAGGGAACACCTTACAAAAGCAGACGAGCAGATTAATGATAATGTGYTGCAGTTAGCTCACAGACTGTCCCTGCAATTCATCTAATTGAATTGCCAACTGTCAGCTTGCAGAGGTATTTTAAGGCAAAATCTTATACTTCCTAAAAATTAAAGAGAATAGAAATTTATTTGAATGAGGTCTGCCTTTCCATTCTAATAGACCACAGCATATACTCATGAAAAGATTAATCATTCATTTTCTGTTAAAACTGAGACAGAGATGCTAATACTTAAGCCAGATAGTGTGCCTTCTACAAGTAGTGAGACAATATGCATTTAGAATAATAAGGTAAAAGGATTACATAACTTGTGTTCTTCTATAAAGTTTTCTTTCACACATCAAGGAACTATTCAACATTTCAGGGTTTTGAAATTCAGCACTAGCCAGTGAAACTATCCTATTATGCTATTTTTATTTAAGGGAAGTTTAAGAAGTCTTTCTTTGTTTATTTTTTACATTTCATTTTCTTTGAAAAAAAAAAGTTTAAAAGAATCTTGCATGTAACACTATAGTTATCACTAGAGCTAATTCTGCATAACCTCTCAAATGTCAAGTTTGATAACAATCATGYAGATCATTTCAGTATGATCCTGGTTTACAATCTGTTAAACATAACTTTATCTAAATAAGTGAAACAGGGGTAATGTGTATATCAAAGCATGCATGTTCTGCACATTATGCATATYCTCAGTATGTAGAAAACTGCTACAAAATGGTAATATTAGTGTACATAGAGAATGAATAACAACATCTGGGTGTGGATGCATCAGAAGGGAAAACCAGTTGGAGAGTAGTTGTAAGAATGGTGTGTATCCATAGCACCTCAATTAACAGGTCATCAAGATCCCAGCACACATCTTCCTACAGCTTCGCAGCACACAAGATGAGGAACAAAGGGCAGCGAGTAAATCCCAGTGATTTGCTGAAGTGGGACAGGATTGTGAAAATAGGCATGATCAGGTTACAAAAAGATATATTCGCAACCGAGATGTGGGAAGAAGGCGTAAGTGAGTGGCTGAAATCAGTTTCGATTTAAAATAATCAACTTCCATTCCTAGGAGGTCTTGCATCGTCGCTACAATGTTGCAACATGATTTCCTACAAACCATGCYTATTTTTCCTTTGGCATCATAAAAACCTACAATTGACTCAGTGGGTTTGCAGAGTTTTCTACAAAAATCATATTGGATTAATTCACCTGTTTTGTTATAACTGGGCTAAGATTAAATTTAGTATTTTTGGATTACACTTTCTGCTGACTTCCAGAACTACACAAGAAGATTCGCAGCTGGTATTCATTGCAACAGCTTCATAAAAATCATGACAGCTACAACAACCTACACCAGCTGTGGGTCTGCTACTCCAGTTTGTTACTAGTTTGTTACATTGTTAGGCACATGCAGAACTCAGCTGCTTGTATACTTGCTTCACACCAGAGCAGAGGTTTCATTAACACACTGCTAAGGCTGGATATACTTCAATATTAAACAGATGCTTTAAAAAGAAATATATATATATATATATATATATGCAGGTGATCTGCAGTTATTAAATTATGATTATTTCTTAATAGGATTATTAGATGCACGTGGCAATTATTATGCACTTTTTATAGCTAGGGGATTGACATCTAGGAGCCTAAGTGACTTGTAGTCATGTAGTGTTTCCAAGCTTTCAGCTCTAGGCTGTCCCAATCCTCATTTTAAGAACAATACTTGGCTCCCTTTCAGTGAGGTTAATACATGACTGTATGCTATTGAAGCAACAAYCAACACTAGCTAAGCTCTTTGCTTGAGATTTAAGGTTAAATGRAAATAAATTTTGTTCTGTAGAGTTAAAATTTGGCATGTGCGTTTCAAACTAGGTCAGATGTTATTTATATCACTGGTGATGAGAATGATTTGATTCCTAACATTGCTATGSTAAGAAGTACTGATTGTTCTACAGACAATTATTTCTAGGTATCAGAAAAGAACATTTCTGGGTATCTTCAGAGATACTGTAAATGCTGCCAACATATCTTTCATTGATGTATAAAACATGCATGAGTAAACAATTATTTTTTTATACATACAGCAATTGTTTGGAGCTTCCTCAGCATAGATGATTTCTACTTGAATTCCCAGTTGGACTGGGAGAGAGGGCTTAACACCCAGAGCAGAAAGACAATATAGGTTACTGCAGCCTTTTTAAAACTTTATTAATTTACAGCTTTGATTTTTTAATCGGTTCTGCCCTCTTCTGTTCCTCCAGCCAGGAGTCAGATTCTAGCCTCATCTATTATACAGAGATGAAATCTTGGCAAAAGGACAGCTGAAAAAGGAAGAGTGAGCTGGAAGTCATATTTTTCTAAGAAATTAATGCTGCATGTSCAAATAATTATTGGCTTAATTTCAGTATGCATGAAAAAAGAAAATAAGCAAAGCTCTTAGGAAAATGCATCTGTACAAAAAAACCCCAAAAAACTAAACAAACCTCTAAACTTTGTATCAGGGAATTCCTTATTTTGTTTCACTGTTGCAATTTGATTCACTAYGATGGTCACATCAATTATCTGACGTTTAAATAGGAGGGGTTGGGGAGTTGTCCTTTTTTTTAAAGGAAAAAGGAAAGCACAGAAGGCCTCCACTAGTCCTCTTTAATTCCTGGAATATGGGAGATACCTTAAAAATAATAAATAAAAACCATAGAAAAAAAGTGTAATTTGTCTTTATGTGCTTTCCATAAAGAGTTTAAGATTTGACTGATGGAGTCCATACTGAGCTGTAAATGCAGGTGGCTGTCAGAAGTCTAGGGCCAAGAAATTCTCTATTCCAATGGGGAAAATGTAACYGACCTCATCCATGTCCTTGTGTTTCATTAGCAGAATTTATGATTAATGTCTTACAGTTTGCTGTGCCATTTGCATGTACTTTTGTGAGACAGAATCTCAGAATCAATGAGTAATTTGGTTTGGCAGGGACCAAACTCAGACTATGTAGTCTAACCCATTGCTGTGGACAGAGGATAGATCTTTAGCTAGACAAGGTTGCTTAAAGCCCATTTAACCTGGATTTCAACACTTCCAGGGATGCGACATCCACAGTTTTTGRGCAACCTGTTCCAGGGCTACCACTCTTATTTGAACACTACTTATTCYTTATGTCTGATCTAAATCTACTCTTTTTCATTTTAAAATTCTTGTCCTGTGACTATGGGCCTTGGGAAATCTTATACACCTCCTTTAAGCACAAGAAGGCCTCTGTAAGATCTCCCCAGAGCCTTCTCTTTTCCAGGCTGAATAGCCCAGCTCTCTCAGTGTGTCTTCATAGGAGCGGTACTCCAGGGCCTTGATGTTTTTTGTGGCTTCTTCTCGACTTGATCTAGAAGGTCCATATCTTTCCTGTGCCAGGGACCCCTGAACTGCATGCAGGACCGAACTGTAAATGGTTTTTGTCTTTTTCTGTGTCTTCAGCACTTTGCTGGCCATTACTCTGAGTTCACAAGCTGTAGCCACCAAGGGAGATCTGACTACTGAGGGCACCCATCCATCCAAACAATGCACTTGTTTGGTCCCTTTCTGCTGGAGAGGGGGCAAAATAGTCATCTTTGTGTGCACGTGTTAATGAAGGTGTTTTTAGAATTCCCGGGGAAGTGTCTCTTTTCCTTTTCCCTTCCAACTACCGCTTTCTGGCCCTTTAGGCAAATAGGTTTGGCTTTACGATGCGTTTAACACACAATCGGATGTAACTGTGCCATCGTGCTTCAGTTGCAACCCTGCAAACACTGGGAATGTTTTTTATTTTTTTTTTCTTTTAGAATGGCGAAGTGGAAAACGTACGCATTTCGTGTCATTATTTGCATGCAACAATGTGTCACACCAAACTAAAAATTCATTAGCAGAGCTGGGGGACATTTTCTGCCTGAGCATAAATGACGCCGGAGACGCCTTCCCTGCCCCTCGTCCCGGCCCCGGCCTCGGCCGCATTGCGCGGGGGAACGGAAAGCTCCGGACCGGGTTTCCCCTTGTCCCGGTGCCATCCGGGGGGAAGAGTTTAGGCGGCAGCAATCCCGGGAGAGATGAAGAAGGTGGCGGTGCGGTAGCTGCTTCTCCAGGTTGCTCCCTTCTTCGCCCTCGGTCCCCGCCCTTCCCCTGGGCCCAGCACGGCTCGGCGCGGCGGGGCCGGGCTGTGCCGGGGGGGTTTCTGCGAGCGGGGGGAGGCGCGGCGGGGCCGGGCTGTGCCGGGGGGGTTTCCGCGAGCGGGGGGAGGCGCGGCGGGGCCGGGCGGCCGCGGGCCCAGCAGGGACCCGCCGAGGGAGAGCGGCCGGGCTTGTGTGTGTGTGTATGCCTAGATAGGTATATGTGTGCGTGTGTCCTGCTGTCCGTGTGGGGCCGCCGAGCCACCTGCTCTTAGGTTTGTAACTGGATTTACGTGTGTCCTGTATGGGGAGTGTTGGTGTCGGTCCCGGAGGTGCCAGGCCCCTGAAGCAGAACGTTGGTTTGTTCTTAAACCAGCCGTGCTTCACCGTCATACATCTTTTACTTTGGTTTGCTTCAGGAAGTGTTTTGAAAAATTACAAGAACAGAGGAGAATAAAGAGTATTATCTTTGAGGAGCCATAATGCCTGATGTTGATTTCTGCGAAACTGGCAGATGAAGGTTTCATTTCTGGTGTGATTTGTTCCCCCATTGTAGCAAACGAAACTTTTCTCTCTGGAGAGCTGGTGAGGAAATCCAGTGGGCAATGTATTTCTCTKGGTGTTCAGGTTCCTCTCTCTGGCGTGCTATGTTTCATGAATCAGCAGCTAGATTTGCACTTTCTTGTTGTTTCATTAGTGTTACTGGAGGCACCTTAGATGTGTGTTTCTGAACACATCTATTGATATGTTTTCTTATATACTTGTTTCTGGGAAATTATAGGTATTAGCATGTCTCAAGGATTTGAAAATATACTAATAGTCATACAKAAGAATCCTGCATGGCAAATTTTGAAATATATTGGCTTTTCAATTCCTAAATGGCTTGTTTGAATAAAAATAAYGAGTCACCAGGAAACAAGAAAGTATATGTACCTTGTATAGGGTCAGCTGTGTGGGCGTGGGAATTTGGAAAGTGTTTGTACAGCCATCTTGGGACACCTCAGTGTAGGCGGAACAATCTCCCCATGTAACTTATTTGTGTGCTGATTAAGAAAAGCTTTGCAGCGGTAAGGGCACTTGAATCCTCTCTACTGTAATTTGAAGCTATTTTCATTCACAACAGTAAATGGTTTGGGGAATAGCTTATTTCTGTTTTCTTTAAAAGTGATTCTTCTGCTTTGTTTTGCAGGAGGTGTGTGTGTGTTATTTTTTTTATTTATGTCTTCTCTTTTTTAACTTAAATATGCCCAGTTACTTAAATCTTTCGTTGTATATTTTGCATTTAAACTCAGATCATTCTTGATTCTCTTCTCTGAATTCATCCATTTCAATTAGTTCATATGTTTGACTTGATTTGAAGGGCAGTATTCAAAACTGGATGGAGYACTCCAGCTGAATTCTAAACAGTAGTAAGTAAGCAATAAGGAAGATTTATGTTCTCTGAAAGCTTTACATCTGTTCACCCATCCTGGTATGGATGGTAGCCCTTGGCAGATTCACCTTCTGTTCCAACTTAGACACTAGATCTTTTCTGTACTATAACCTAGTAAGATATCCCCCTTCCAGTTGATTATTCTGTCCTAAATTGAAGATCTTGCTTTTCTTCTTATTAAAGTGCCCTTTCTGGTTGGTTGTTTACTCTTTTGTTGGAGCTTGTTTGTTTATTTTGTTTTGTTTTTTTTAAAAAGACAAAACACCACAATGCAAACTTTTCTGATTAGTAAAGTCTGTATTAGAATTCAGAATTTTCTTCCATCATGTTTTTATTTTGTTTCAACTTGCTGCCATCTGTAATATTAASGAAACAGTTAATCATCAAACAGTGCTACTTAAGGGAGTCCTCTGTGAACTTTCAATGGCCTATGTAAGTTCTTGATTCTATTTTTCTGCATGACCTTGCAGTCAAGATGAAAAGTAGTGTCAGTTTAATATTAAATTGGACCTCTGCCATAAACTAAATCCTTATCACACAGGGTGGTACATTTACTAACTCTAATTAGGACAAGTCTGTGTACTTTCAAGGCTAGCAGGAAACAATATTCCAAGTTTGTCTYTTGCTCTTTGATCTTTAGCAGCAGCATGTTTATTCCTCTAGATGTCCAGGGCACAGAGCACCCTGGAATAGATGTAGAGGAGCCTGTCCTTCATAAATAGGATTTGAAAATGTATTTGGGCCACACAGTAATGCCCGTCTTGGCTCTTTTCTCCTTCCCKTGCATCCCCCTGGTTTAGCTTATCTGAGCCTTCAGTCTTTCACAGGGCAAGAAGATCACAGCAAGAAGCTCTACTCTGCTTTTGACACCTTGTATAACAGAGCATTTTCCTCATTCACCAGATAGAATCTTAAAAAATTCATAAGCTAAATACAAAATCCCTTGTGTAATATGCCACAGCTGTCTCTTACTTTGGACCTTTTTTTCTTTGCATGTCACTGTAGTGTTTGAGCATTTTCCTGATGTGTAAATTTGATCTGTATGACAGTATGTTAACTGAAATTCAGAACTCTTTACAATTCTTCCTCAGGAGGTTTTCTTTCCCTACTAATGGAGGCTGCCTCGAGCTGCACAGAAGCTCAGCATCGCAGAGTATCTTTTCTCCTTTTCTCAGCCTGCCTGTCTTCAACTTCATGGTAGCACAAACTAGAAAGCATTAGGTGTCACACACTTACTCTCTCTACACTCCCAGCTTTCACATGATGTGACAACAACTGGGAGGAAAAGGGGGTCTCCTAGAATTGTTGTGTTTTCTTGCATCTTCAAAAAAAAACCTGAAACTGAGTAGCTGTTAAGATTCTAAGGGAAAGAGAATAGGAAAGAAAGAGTTGACTTTCACAATTGCTTTTTCTCTTCTGAACTGTTTCAGTGAGATTAAGAAACTCCATAGTGTAGTGAAAATCACATCTAAGGTGGCCATCCAAATGCTCCTTATTAAGGCCCATATTTGTATAGGAACATATCTGTTAGGCATGGAACAATTCTACCTCATGAACAGATTTTCTTTCCATTAAGCTTAAGAAAAATCTTGATTCACCAGATATTTTCAGGCTTGGTGCATGTTTCTTGAATCTCATTGTAACTTGCTTTAAATTGATGTAGGCTTTTATTCTTTGCAATTACTTTAAATAGACATTTTGATTATTTCTGTTTTTTTTCAAAATAAGGACATTAACTCTTTGTGAAGTGAAAGAGGTATTTGAGACAATGAAGAAATGGGTTTTTTATTCTGCCGGTATGTTGAATGAATACGCAACTTGTAATAACTTTGAGATATACAAGACGTTTCTACCACAGTTGATAGTAGTTTGATTCTACAACTCACAAGTCCTAACTGTTATGCTCTTGCTTTTAAATTTGCTCCCTTTGTCCCTTTTATATAGGTAATGTCACAGAGGTATTTTTAGTCTGTTATTTGTACTGTGCTTGTGGACTGGAATATTTGAGCTATCTTAGATATGCTGCAATTTAGGAATGAAGTGACCAATTGAAATTAGTCCAAAGATTRTTAAAAACACCAATTTAATTTTTTTTTGTGGACCTAAAAGCAATCTTTAGAAAACCCAGAATTTTCCTAGTTTTAAAACAAAAGGGGAGAAAGCAGACTTTGAATATATAAAGTTGTGACAGAGAACACTGACAATAACTTTGTAGTAAAGGAAGGCTCAGCTGAGTGCAAGGAAAAGCTTCATAAGGAGGTGACACTTTGAAGCRGGAGCCCTGCTGAGGTTAAGGAACCTCCCTCACAGGTAGTTTCTATGACCACTTTGGAGACTGTCTAGACATGGGTTGGCCTCAAAGTGGAAGGCTTGGGCTAAATGTTTGGTTGTGATACTTTCTAGCTATTCTTACAAATATTTTAATAATTCCCCCTGCACTCAGGAGCAAATAATTTTTTCTTATAAGTCATTGAGCTGAGACATAGTAACTYGCCCAATTGTGTTCCATCAGTTGAAAATTCAAAGAAAATAAAAACTATTTCAATATTTTGTTTTAGACTGAAACAATAACTATGAATTATGATTACTACCTTGTTATTCATTATGACTTTGCAGTATATGCATAGTTAGGTATCACAGCCCTGATATTCTAACTTTATAGTGAGATAGTGAATGTAGCCTGTGTTTTTTCCATAATCTGGGAGTTGTCTTTGTATGGTTGTAGTTTATGGCTATTGTGTTGCTCTTGCTGACTGGCTCTAGCATTTGCAATTTTGAGAGAAATCGAAGTTGGTTGTACTGCCGGATACAATTGATAAGATGCAGAAATGTGAATAGTAAATTTAACAGTATATTGAAGCTAAATGTTTTTTCATTAACACTGCATTCATTTAATGCATTTCTGAAGTGCAAGAAATCTTAGTTCTTCTCTTTTTATTTGATCTTCATAAATATTATATTTGGGAGTTAAAATTGCTGCTGTAGGAAAGACATTGATTACAGTAAGTTCTTGCATTTTTTAAATTAATATAATGTAGCTGAACTGTATTTGGAAGAGCAGGTGCATTTATAGCATAGATGACTTGTTTTTCTTCTGGAAAGTAATCTAGTTTATCATGTAACATAACCAGTGGTTACTCTGTTACAAGAAAAATATTTTAAGCTACATTAAATTAAGWGTATGCTAATCTAGATACTTTTGGTATTTTATGTAGAAAATAAGCAACAAACTTAGGCAATTTTGTATTAATGAAGGCTAAATAATACTCTCTTTCTTATTTTAGGGACCTGTGGGATTTAWGAATATCTCTCCTAAGAAAATTTGCTGCTTCTACAGCTTTTCATCTTAGTGTGCAATTGATGATTTCATTTGAAATACCTATTTGGAGAAATTAAGAGTAGGCGAGGTGTAATTGCCTTTTAAAAATGTTAAAAGTTCAACATTGTGTAGCAGCTGTCAAGATTCCCAAGAAAAAGCCATATATTTGTGACATGTGCTATAAACAATTTGAAACTCCRTCAAAATTAGCTAGGCATTATCTCATACATACTGGTCAAAAGCCATTTGAATGTCATGTGTGCAATAAAACCTTTAGGCAGCTAGTCCACCTGGAGAGGCATCAGTTGACCCATAATCTGCCTTTTAAATGTATTGTTTGCTATAGAAACTTCAAAAATGTAATTACTTTCTTAAAGCATCAGCAGCTTCATAATGAAAATTATGAGAATGATACAAAGGAAGTGGAAAACTATGTGAATTCTGAGCAAGACAGGGTTGCTTGTAACATATTTTATTGTTCTGTGTGCTGGAAACCTTTTACAACTGAAGAGAGGTGGATGTTGCATCAGTGTCTCAAGTCAGATCATCTACATGGTGCCAGAAGGAGAAGGAAGAAAACTCACTCTTGTGAATCATGTAACAAGACATTTCCATCAAGATCCAAGCTAGAAAGACACTTCCTTATTCACACTGGCCAGAAGCCTTTTAAGTGTTCTTCATGTGGCAAATCTTTCAGGCAGTCAACACACTTGAAAATTCATCAGCTCACGCACACAGAAGAACGGCCTTTTCGGTGCTGTTTTTGTCAGAAGGGATTTAAAATACAGAGTAAACTCATGAAGCATAAACAGCTCCATGCCAGAAATAAGACTTTCCCCAATATTGTATGCAAAGCAAAGGCTCTTAAATATCCTAGACCACACAACCTGTTGGAAGGAAAGAGGGATAATTTTGAGAATGCTGACACACACAAGTCACAGGAGAATGACCCACAAGATGTGCATTCAATTTATATTGTACCCTTTCAGTGCCCAGCATGTGAGCAGTGTTTTGAAACAGAGCATGTTCTGAATTTGCACAAATGTTGTTATTCAAGAGACAGCAGAAGTTCAAATAATGGTGCAATAGCAGGCAGATGTACAGTTAACAGGAAAAAGAAGACCATGATGAAATTGAAGCATAGTGAGGGAAAGGYACCAGATTGTTCTCTGACGGACAAAAAAATTAAATCAGGTCACGTTAAAAGTCCTGACCTGGTTGCAGCTAGAGATCAGCGTAGTGATCAGCATGTGTCCACTAAACCTTCCAAGGATTGCCAGAGCAGGCGGAACATACACAAGTCCGTCCGTAATCGGATGAAAAGGACATTTGCTGTGCCATTACCTTGGCAAGAGCACTTGCAACCTYCCGATTTGGATGGTAATTTCAAAGGAGTGTGTACTGGTGAAAGCATGTTAAACGTTGATGATTCACTGAGTAATAAAGATAATGCTTTTTATTGTTCATCAAATGATAGTTTCTGTTATAATCCAGAAGTGCTTCACTGTGCTTTTCCAGCTTCTGCTAAAAATAAACATAACAGACACAAAGTGTGTAAATGTGACAGATGTGAAAAAATGTTTCCGTCTTCATCCAAACTTCAAAGACATTATCTTATACACACGGGACAAAAGCCCTTTGGCTGTAATGTTTGTGGGAAGACATTTAGACAGTCAGCTCACTTAAAAAGACATCAGCTTACCCATACTGAAAAGAGACCCTGTAAAAGCCCCGTTTGCCAAGTAGMATTTGAAAACCTGAACAAACTTTTCAATCATCAGGAAGATCACATTGAATTTAAGTCTTCTCAGTCTGTGGRTTATTCAGGTGATCCTCAAACACCTTCACAGCCCTCTGGTTTTCCAGAATGTGAGCTCATTCAGTCAAACCAAGCAGCTGAAATCAAAGTTGAAATCGAGTCAGGGGATTTTGTTCTTGACACCAGCAGCAGAAACCCACAGCTGTATTTGTGCAGTAAATTGCTGGAATCAGAGCAAAGCTGTTACAGTTATTGGCATGATTTTTCTGAAGGTACTGAAGAAAGTGAAGTTGTTAACAAATTATATCAATGCAGTGTCTGCTTTAAAACTTTTAAATCTCCTTCTAAGCTTGAAAGACATCACCTAATGCATGCTGGACAGAAACCATTTGAATGTTTAGTTTGTGGAAAAAAATTCAGACAGGCCCCCCATTTGAAAAGACATCACTTTATTCACTTTAAAGAGAGCTTAAAGCTTAGTTCCACTGAGGAACAAGCAGAGAATGTATTTGTTTTATCTAAACCGGATAATGGACTATGAAATCATGTTTTTAAATGTTTTGGTTGAATAATTAGAAAATACTGTAGGCTAAACAATTTACTGAAGTGGGTTATATTTTCTATTATAGAGATGACCTGGTAAAGTTAATTTACTGTCTTCAGAACTGTCCACTTGATACAATTTGTGAGATACTAATGTTGAGATGTTTTTAAAAAATGCAACAAACCCCTCCCACACACTTTGCATTCTTTTTGGCTCATTCTTTTTAATTTATAAGCAACATTCGTATTGTATCAATAGCATTGCAGCAATCTGCAGTATTCCATTAATAAGATAGTTTAAAAGTTTCACCTTTTCCCGTATAGTACTTTATGTTCAATGATAACTATCAGAAAAGACAAAAAGATAATTTGCAAAATACRAAAAAGGTCCTTTCAGTTAATTCTGGCTCCCCACATGTTGCAAGCAAAGGACACTTCCTGTATTTATCCCAGACTTTAAAAAAAGGGTTGTTTTTAGATAAAAAACACAGAGTAGRAAAAGGGGAGAAAGTTTAGTGTGAAGAATGTTGATGTGGCATTATAGAACATTCTGATTTCTATAGTATAGAAAAAAATAACTGCATTGTAATGTGCTTGGAGAGCTATAGATGAGGAATTAGATAATTTCCCTTTTTATGTAAAATACAGGGAGGCCATGCTATAATATTAGGATTTATAATCAATTCATGTATTTCACCACTTTATTAACTCTGCTTCCTTGTATATCCCTTGCCTTCTTGAGCATTTTTGGCCAATTCATACTTTACTGAGCTATTTTTCTATAAGAAAAGAAGACAAGAAATTTTATCATTAACGTTACAAATGGGCTTACTATCTCTTCCAGTCTCCTTTCCTTCTAGCATACATAGTGAACCAGTAAAAGAAATGTTCTCTAAGATGTGATAATAATTTAGATGAGCAGTTTTATCAAGAAGTCATGTTCTCATTACATTAAATATAAGAGACGGAAAATTACTTTTAGCTGAAATTAAGGAATTCTTATTTTCTATTAATAGAATCTGTAGTTATACTTTCTGGTAGTAGATGGCTTTGTCCATTGTGCCAGTGGGGCTGGCAAGAAGTATAAGTGCGGTGGAGCTTCATACATTGTGAACAAAAATGAAGTTTGTTCCTTCTTTTCCTCTTTAAAAACTACCTTTTAGGATATTTTCTTTGTTATGCAACTTTTGAACAGTTGAAACCTGAAGTTCTTAACCCTGTTTTGAAATTAACATATCTGTAAGATACATGACATTGTTTTCACTCTTTAAATAGATCCATATTTATTTAAATAAAATTAATTTGATTTTGTTATAATTTTTGAAATGGCATGAGCTTTATACTACTTGGTGAATATGAAGTGAAGGGTAAAAGGAGTTTTATTTTCATACATGTTATTCTATTCTTTTTCAGTGAGAATAAAACCAAGAAAAATACTCAGTCTGTAGTTACTATGCTTTTTTGTATGGCAAATAAATTCAATATATTAATAATGACTGTAGTTATGTATTGAGATTTTTTTTCTCCCTATGTGAATTGTTTCATATTGAAAAACAAAGTGCTGTATAAAATGTTTTGAAAGCATATTGTAGAGCTCTTTTAAAATACTTGTAATAAACTATTTTATTTATTTTTGTACTTTCATTGGGTGCTTTATGTGCAAACCTGAGTTTTGAAACTATCTAACATTSATTATGATGAAAAGACTGCATATCAAAATAACTTTGTTAGAACAATAGGTTTGGTTTCAGGTATTTTTTGTTATAAAATATGAACATGTTTAAAGACAATAACATCATTCTTAAGGAGTTACAGTCGTTTTAAAGTGCTATCAGAGTAATGTTTGGAGAACACAAAACTTTCATACTTTGAAAATATTAATTTAAGTAAAATTAAGGGAAAGTAATAAAAACGTATATTTTTGTGGGATGAWTAGATATTTGTCAGAAGTAATACTATCTGTTTAATTTGGAAATTAATGAAATTTTGGGTTTGGATTTCAGAGCCACTGTGTCTGGCTCTCCTTTGTAAAAAAATTTGTGTCAGTAGAAATTCATGGTTTTAGGGGTATTATTCCATAAACTAGCTAGAAAGGGGTTAAATTGTTTCTCAGAGTCAGGAGAGAAAAACCTGAGGTTGAAATCCCATGTCTTTTGCAGTTAATGGTAAAATTCTCAGTTCTCAAAGAAAGTATCTTTGAGAATTTGAGCTAGAATAGTTTTCTCTGTAGTCACAGTAACACTTTTTGTTGTTCATTAGTATGTCAGTCATTTTCCTTAATGCTTCGAGGCAGGTTCAAGCCATCAGTCTTTTAAGTATCTTTGGTGGCAGAAACATTGCCTGTGGTTTAGTTAGAATGAACTGATGCTAATACTAATAATCTGATAGTGCTGAAATAGTGGATTTTTTTGAGACTCTGGAGAACCAAAGCATATTCTGCTGAGGAAAACAGTAGGTCTTCCTGTGTTAACAATGAGCTCCTGCTGGGGAGAACTTCTCCAACAGCATGGGTTTAGCATGGAGGTTGTTCTATCTGAAATAGAAGAATGGTCAAATATTTTAAAGCAAGCAAAAAAAACAGTAAAAGGGACTTTTTGAAAAAAAATTATGCAGCTGCAGTACTGACATTATTCATTTTCTGTCTAGAAGATGTATCTATGGCTACCTTTAAAATGCTGCACTCTCATTGCACTGTGTCACAAGTGAGTGTTTTGGATGGCTCGAAGAATCACCAGCAAGGGTATCATCAAAAGCAGGTTTAATATAAAAGTAAAAGCAAAACAAAACTCGGTKGCAATGTTTACTACTTATTAGATGGTTAAAGCATACAGACAAAAATCAGACTAAAATGTAAAATAAATCAATCTAACTAAACCTAAAATGATCTGTGGTGGATGGTGATGAGAAAAGGGTAAGGATGGGAGAGGGTAAGGATAAAAGAAATAAGGGGGACCCTCCAATTKAGACACAAGGTTCAGAGGGGAGGCCCTTGCCAAACTTAGCCCTGGACTTGACCAAGAGTTTAGGCCTAAAGTAACAGCCCTTAACAGCACTTAATTTACACAATTTAAGAAAGATTCTATAGAATTTACTCAGCACTACAGTAACTCACTGGCCAAATGCTCAAATTTAACATACTTAAGAATACAAGAGAGCAACATTCATAGTGTATTTCCTGTAGCCTGTTCCTGCTCACATACAGAGACCTAAAGGAGTAAAATTTCACTCAATTTCAGTGAAGTGCTCATGTCAGCTGCCATTGCATCTTCTCAATGGGCAAAGGGGTGAGCCTTGAGGAGTGGGGTTATCAACACAGGCTCTGGCAGTGCTGTTCAGGAGCAGTCCTCAGAGTACAGCAAACTTGAGAGTCATCAGCTGAGATCCGTCCCACTCAGAGGGAGAATGCTGGCTGGAGAGCTCCAAGGGTCTCACATAGGATTGCAGTTTATAGGGTTGATTGAGTGTTGCCTTTAGTCATAATGGCTTTCCATCCTGGATGCAATTTGGCTCAGTAGCTCTCTTGGAAAGTTTGGTAACAAGAAGTTGCTCTGCTTGGGTTGTTATGTCGGTGAGAAAAATAAGCTTCCAAAGCTGTTAAAAAAACAGGAGCTTGTTAGACAACATAAGTTGCCAGGAAGAGACAGTGTTTGTGATAACCTCAAGAGGAGCTCAGTCCCAGTGCTGTTTGTCAAGGCCAAGGCCCAAGGAGTATTTCTGAGATCATAGTTTGGCCCAAGGTGTGTGTGTGGGTGGCATCTGTACCCACAGACAAGGTTTGCAGAAAGTCAAAAYATATAAGTATTCCTGTATGTGTCTGCAGAAAAATTCAAAAGGGAAAAAAAGCAATAATAAACCACAGAAAAACTGTTTAATCATTTGTAGCTGTTTTTCACTGCATGCTGGGTTTCTCACTTGGCTGCAGTCTGCTCTCGCTATTACACCCAGAACCAACAAGAAAAGTTAGTGAGGCAAATGTGAGAGCCACAAAAGAAACTTAATTGAAGTTAATGACACCTTAGGTTTCAAAACAAGATGCTGGATCTAATGTTTAGTTTTCCTGGCTGCCTCCTAGTACAAATATAAAACCCCAAAAGTCATCATCTCTCAATAGTAGCTCATTTGAGTAACACTTATTTAAGTACAGTTGGATGACTCTTAAATCAGTAAAAATTATGGTCTTGGTCCATCAAATGGCCCCTTGTAATGATGTTGAAAATGGCTAGACCTCCCAAATAACTAAAGTGGTAATGGTTCATATTCCTAGCACAAGGTTTTGTGGATTTTTAAAGTGTAGGTTTTTAACTTAATAGCCTGGTTTTATGGTCTGATGGCTGTGGATGAGATGTGTCTGAGAGGCAGTTATCATAAGGAAAATTGAAATTACAGAACTGACTTTTCTATGTTCTCTTATAATGTACTTTCTCCAGGTTAAGCAAATAAGTTGTATTTCTTCATTTAATGACTAGTTCTGTCAAGCAGCTTTTAAACAGCATTTTTTTAGCTTCTGTTTAAAAAGTGAATCTTCAAAGTCCATGCAAGTGAAGGAGAAATCAGTCTTATGACAATAAAATTGCTCACAAATGAATTGATATGTCCTTGTTCAGAAACTATTGTTCTAACATGAAAGTGCCATTATGTCTGTCCTGAATTATGGGTCTCTGAATGTCATTTTGCTTCTCTGCTGTTCCAGTTCCTGACTGCTCCCACGATATCCTAATGTGTGGCTTGACTGTTACACATTTGGCATGATTTGAATATGTAGCTGGAATATTTCCCCTTCACTGGAATCCTTCCAGTGTCCCATGTGCCATTCTGTATGGATCTGTGAAACCCCATGTGTGACCTCTAGTCCAAGGGTCATGGAGCTGGTTGTTGCACATGTGATGCCATGGCATGTAAAACAGTGCCTGAGGATGCGAGTGCATGAAGATGTGAGAAGCATATGTGCTGATGATGCTGACTGAGGCCCATCATTCCCCACTGAAATCACCTGGGTGTAGGGCAGTAAGARCATATGGATATAATGATTGTCCAGCTTTGCACTTGAATGTGCCTTACTGCATAGTGAAGGAGGGGAAACAGAATTATGAGGTCACTGCTATTTAAAAATTAAAAGACTGCTCCCAAACTAAAGAAGCCAGCTATGCATGGTGTCTCCCCTTTGCACTGCTAATACATTGCACTCAAATCCTACTGACATAAAGGAAACACT